TAAATTTTTATACAGTAAAATTAATCTTGTCATAAAAATAACATTGGATATCTATGTTGATAAAAAACAAGTAGCATACGACAACTCATAAGACAATTAATAATTTTTATGAGCTATAAGTATGAAATGTTTATTGTTAATCTGGGTTTTTCAAGACACCTTACATTATTATAAAATTTGATTCTTATTTCCAGGAAATCAAATGATTTATACATATTCTTTTATTGATTCTCTTTTTGAGTTTCGTTTTTTACATTAATAAGTGAATTAGCATTTTCTTCAATGTTCCTAGGACTTTCTACATCAACTACTTTATTGTCCTTTCGAGGAGCATACAAAGTTAAGACTTTATCTAAACCAAGCAATGCCTCGACCTTTTCTAAATCGTACAAGTCAGAGACATTATAAAACCCCGTATTCAAGCTTGAAGGACCATTTGCACCATTCTGCTGTTCTTTCTGTTCTGCCTTAACTATAATGTCTCGACCAATAACCTACAAAAATAATAAAGTTCAAATAATAAAGAGCAATAATTTAGGGTGAAAAAATCTTAAAGATTATTTATTGAGCGATTTATTAGATTTACCTGACAAAATTCATTACTAAACTTTGACAAACTTATTTACTTATCCTGTGCTAACTTGAGCAAATCAAATGGAAATGAAATTAGTACTCACCTTGACAGTAATTTCACTTGAGGTGAATTGCGTGCAATCCAGCTCCTTCACAAAGTCAATCTTAAAAAAAAAGACGTAGCACTATATTTTGAACAATTTAACTAAATAATAAAATTAGTTAAAATCATACCTTTCTGTCCAGGTCGACTGTAGTACAGATATCATAAACCTTGAGAAACTTAGGTTGACCCAATGTATTGCTGGCAATCATGGATGGACTGCTTTCGGTGTCAGGTAACTTGAAGTAGGGAAAGTTATATCCTTTAGTTGTCATTCCAAACTTTTTTTGATCTTCAGTAAGCTCCAAGGTAATATTCATTTTTTTTTAAATTTATTTGCGTAGATTAAGCAGTTCTAATCAAATTTTTATTGGTGCCTCAACACGTCAAGGAAGTCTAAAAGCCAACTGACGTGGCTTGCGCCGATATGATACGTTCGTACGTGTCTTTACGTGCATTGCGCGTGACATCACTGTTGGCGAGTTTTTAACGCTTTGTTTTTTGCTAGATGGAAGATTACACTTCAGAACGACTTATTTTCTTCCGTTCATGTGCACTTTACAAAATTTGAATTTTCCTTCCATGCACCTTCATAATTAGTAAAATTCTCGTTTTTATGCCAATAGATAGTCAGCTGACCATTGCCTGGAGATACGGAAATTCCGTTACCTGACCTCCTGCGGGTTGGCTTCCAGGTAAATCTAATAAATCGCTCAATAAATAATCTTTAAGATTTTTTCACCCTAAATTATTGCTCTTTATTATTTGAACTTTATTATTTTTGTAGGTTATTGGTCGAGACATTATAGTTAAGGCAGAACAGAAAGAACAGCAGAATGGTGCAAATGGTCCTTCAAGCTTGAATACGGGGTTTTATAATGTCTCTGACTTGTACGATTTAGAAAAGGTCAAGGCATTGCTTGGTTTAGATAAAGTCTTAACTTTGTATGCTCCTCGAAAGGACAATAAAGTAGTTGATGTAGAAAGTCCTAGGAACATTGAAGAAAATGCTAATTCACTTATTAATGTAAAAAACGAAACTCAAAAAGAGAATCAATAAAAGAATATGTATAAATCATTTGATTTCCTGGAAATAAGAATCAAATTTTATAATAATGTAAGGTGTCTTGAAAAACCCAGATTAACAATAAACATTTCATACTTATAGCTCATAAAAATTATTAATTGTCTTATGAGTTGTCGTATGCTACTTGTTTTTTATCAACATAGATATCCAATGTTATTTTTATGACAAGATTAATTTTACTGTATAAAAATTTAGTTATTTTATGTTAACTCGTGAGAAATATTTAAGTATGTTTGCTATTTGATGCTGTAGATAAGAATTGCTTTAATAAAAAATTTGTAAAAACATCGTTCAGCACGAATTCAAAAATTTTTTTTTACTTTTCGCTATTTTGATGTGAACTAACAATATTTTGTACATTCTTTGTTTTGAATGAATAGAACATCATATGAATTCTTTCTTTTTAAATTGTGAATTATTTGATTTATTAGTTCATAAGTAACGTAATGTTGTTTTTTACTCCTTTTTCTGACAGAGCAAGTCTTCGTAGCATCCTTACGTTTATGAAAGCGTTACTTTTTTGAAAGTTCGCTTCTCGATTTTCGGTAAAAAAGTGCTAAGGTTTTCTGTTATAACATATGACGTTATTCGTCGTTGTGTAACTGCACCCTCAAAGCACCTACTGCCACTGTACGTGCAACAACATTAGATTTTAGAATTTTAAATTTTCCTTTCCGTCAAGGTATTTTTGTATTTGATTAAATATTTTGAAAATAAATGCAAAGAGATTCTTCAGTTAAATCAATAAAAATAAATGTCACTATTAAGATTTCTTATTGTATTTCATTAAATCTTTCAACTCATATTCTTCTTTAATTTTTATAGATGCCTACCCAAACCGTCTAGCAGAATCCAAATGTTATACATAGTGTTTTACATACTGTCGGACAAATGGTGCACCGAATAATAATCGTATAGATATAGGTGTTATCTAGTGTAAAAAACGTGAATTTTTCATGTCCCCGCTCTATAAAAACAGTTGAATTGTTTAAATAATTTTTATGCACGAAAATTTTTATGCACGAAAAAAGAAGAAAAACCCCCAATCAAATGCGAATTATAAACTTAAACAAAGAATATAGTGTTAAAATATCATTACCCTAANAAGTATTTTATACCTTTATATAAAGGGACTTATCTATACGATTATTATTCGGTGCACCATTTGTCCGACAGTATGTAAAACACTATGTATAACATTTGGATTCTGCTAGACGGTTTGGGTAGGCATCTATAAAAATTAAAGAAGAATATGAGTTGAAAGATTTAATGAAATACAATAAGAAATCTTAATAGTGACATTTATTTTTATTGATTTAACTGAAGAATCTCTTTGCATTTATTTTCAAAATATTTAATCAAATACAAAAATACCTTGACGGAAAGGAAAATTTAAAATTCTAAAATCTAATGTTGTTGCACGTACAGTGGCAGTAGGTGCTTTGAGGGTGCAGTTACACAACGACGAATAACGTCATATGTTATAACAGAAAACCTTAGCACTTTTTTACCGAAAATCGAGAAGCGAACTTTCAAAAAAGTAACGCTTTCATAAACGTAAGGATGCTACGAAGACTTGCTCTGTCAGAAAAAGGAGTAAAAAACAACATTACGTTACTTATGAACTAATAAATCAAATAATTCACAATTTAAAAAGAAAGAATTCATATGATGTTCTATTCATTCAAAACAAAGAATGTACAAAATATTGTTAGTTCACATCAAAATAGCGAAAAGTAAAAAAAAATTTTTGAATTCGTGCTGAACGATGTTTTTACAAATTTTTTATTAAAGCAATTCTTATCTACAGCATCAAATAGCAAACATACTTAAATATTTCTCACGAGTTAACATAAAATAACTAAATTTTTATACAGTAAAATTAATCTTGTCATAAAAATAACATTGGATATCTATGTTGATAAAAAACAAGTAGCATACGACAACTCATAAGACAATTAATAATTTTTATGAGCTATAAGTATGAAATGTTTATTGTTAATCTGGGTTTTTCAAGACACCTTACATTATTATAAAATTTGATTCTTATTTCCAGGAAATCAAATGATTTATACATATTCTTTTATTGATTCTCTTTTTGAGTTTCGTTTTTTACATTAATAAGTGAATTAGCATTTTCTTCAATGTTCCTAGGACTTTCTACATCAACTACTTTATTGTCCTTTCGAGGAGCATACAAAGTTAAGACTTTATCTAAACCAAGCAATGCCTTGACCTTTTCTAAATCGTACAAGTCAGAGACATTATAAAACCCCGTATTCAAGCTTGAAGGACCATTTGCACCATTCTGCTGTTCTTTCTGTTCTGCCTTAACTATAATGTCTCGACCAATAACCTACAAAAATAATAAAGTTCAAATAATAAAGAGCAATAATTTAGGGTGAAAAAATCTTAAAGATTATTTATTGAGCGATTTATTAGATTTACCTGGAAGCCAACCCGCAGGAGGTCAGGTAACGGAATTTCCGTATCTCCAGGCAATGGTCAGCTGACTATCTATTGGCATAAAAACGAGAATTTTACTAATTATGAAGGTGCATGGAAGGAAAATTCAAATTTTGTAAAGTGCACATGAACGGAAGAAAATAAGTCGTTCTGAAGTGTAATCTTCCATCTAGCAAAAAACAAAGCGTTAAAAACTCGCCAACAGTGATGTCACGCGCAATGCACGTAAAGACACGTACGAACGTATCATATCGGCGCAAGCCACGTCAGTTGGCTTTTAGACTTCCTTGACGTGTTGAGGCACCAATAAAAATTTGATTAGAACTGCTTAATCTACGCAAATAAATTTAAAAAAAAATGAATATTACCTTGGAGCTTACTGAAGATCAAAAAAAGTTTGGAATGACAACTAAAGGATATAACTTTCCCTACTTCAAGTTACCTGACACCGAAAGCAGTCCATCCATGATTGCCAGCAATACATTGGGTCAACCTAAGTTTCTCAAGGTTTATGATATCTGTACTACAGTCGACCTGGACAGAAAGGTATGATTTTAACTAATTTTATTATTTAGTTAAATTGTTCAAAATATAGTGCTACGTCTTTTTTTTTAAGATTGACTTTGTGAAGGAGCTGGATTGCACGCAATTCACCTCAAGTGAAATTACTGTCAAGGTGAGTACTAATTTCATTTCCATTTGATTTGCTCAAGTTAGCACAGGATAAGTAAATAAGTTTGTCAAAGTTTAGTAATGAATTTTGTCAGGTAAATCTAATAAATCGCTCAATAAATAATCTTTAAGATTTTTTCACCCTAAATTATTGCTCTTTATTATTTGAACTTTATTATTTTTGTAGGTTATTGGTCGAGACATTATAGTTAAGGCAGAACAGAAAGAACAGCAGAATGGTGCAAATGGTCCTTCAAGCTTGAATACGGGGTTTTATAATGTCTCTGACTTGTACGATTTAGAAAAGGTCGAGGCATTGCTTGGTTTAGATAAAGTCTTAACTTTGTATGCTCCTCGAAAGGACAATAAAGTAGTTGATGTAGAAAGTCCTAGGAACATTGAAGAAAATGCTAATTCACTTATTAATGTAAAAAACGAAACTCAAAAAGAGAATCAATAAAAGAATATGTATAAATCATTTGATTTCCTGGAAATAAGAATCAAATTTTATAATAATGTAAGGTGTCTTGAAAAACCCAGATTAACAATAAACATTTCATACTTATAGCTCATAAAAATTATTAATTGTCTTATGAGTTGTCGTATGCTACTTGTTTTTTATCAACATAGATATCCAATGTTATTTTTATGACAAGATTAATTTTACTGTATAAAAATTTAGTTATTTTATGTTAACTCGTGAGAAATATTTAAGTATGTTTGCTATTTGATGCTGTAGATAAGAATTGCTTTAATAAAAAATTTGTAAAAACATCGTTCAGCACGAATTCAAAAATTTTTTTTTACTTTTCGCTATTTTGATGTGAACTAACAATATTTTGTACATTCTTTGTTTTGAATGAATAGAACATCATATGAATTCTTTCTTTTTAAATTGTGAATTATTTGATTTATTAGTTCATAAGTAACGTAATGTTGTTTTTTACTCCTTTTTCTGACAGAGCAAGTCTTCGTAGCATCCTTACG